TTCTCTCAGCATAACGCTGTGCTGCTTGCTTAGCTACTGCAAACCCACCACGCACGGGATTCTTAATTTGTCTCATATAAGACTCGAATGGAAAGGCTGAAAAACTATCTAAAGGTCCATGTGCACGAACGTCGTCAGGGAGGTGCTGTAACGAATGCACATTGTAAACTAAGTTTTCACACCCATAACACCATGCGTATTCATTTAGGAAGTTTAGTAAATCTAATTTGACGGTTTCTACAACATTTTTATGTAATTTCGGATGTGCAAGCAGATAAATGGATAACGCTAAACGCCGGAAATTAAGATAAAAAGGTTGTGGCAATGTTTTTTCAAGAATCACCGGGCCTAAATACAGAAGAAACGACCTACATTCAGAAGCTTTCCATGCCGATACAAAGTCTAGTGTACGGCATTTACGGGGAAAGTCAGAAGGAGTACTTGCCACACAACCCGTTATTAAATTATTTATGTCCCTAATTGCACATGAGTTGAAGTCGCGCAGTCTTCGGCGTGCTAAATCTATCCATAAATTAGCTAGTTTTTTGGTAACACCGAGGTACACCATGTGCATAGGATCTAGAGGAAAAGTTAAAATCATATCAATCGAAAGCGTTTCCATAATAGAATGTCCTTGATGGTGAATTGATTGAGACTGACGACGGAAGGTGTCGTCTGTTCTTAAGGTATGTACTCCATTTGGAAAGGTCGTTTTCCCCTCCAGCCGTCTCCCAAGTACAGTACACCTATCGCAACCTGCCTTACCGTTGTGATTTACCGTGTACCTAACAGAAGAACGAGCAGGTGCGTCACATATAACAGCCGCCAACCTAATAGCTATACATTTATTAAACTTTACACTAAAAAGACCCACGTCAGTCATTTCTTTTATTTCAGAAATTGTGTCCGCAGAAAACTCGTTGAATTCTGCCTGCTTACTATTCCCTCCGTAGATCCCTATCATGAACACGTCACTAAGCCTAGGGGCAACGATCCGTCCTAGTATAGGCCATAACTGTTGATTGGAGCTTCTAGACATAGAAAGTCCATCCACACTGATATATAAATTTAAAAATTCAAAATCACTAGTACACAACCAAAGTTCAACGTATCTTAGCAGATTGGTTTTCAATCCTAGATGGTAGTAAACCCCACTGCCGATAAACTTTGGTTGAACACTTGGACACGTCTTTAGGACACCTCTGATGCTTTTCGGAATGTCAGGGATAAAAAATCTTAGACCATACAGAACCCGATCAGCATCCCTTATGCTCAGAGATGTATTTGACATCAGATACATCATCAAGTCGTTCATCATTTCTTTGCGATTCACGAACTTTGGAGAGCACAGGTTCACTTCAGGAGATCCTATAAGATATATATTCACGTATGAATTTAGTATACATACCACTATTATCTGAAAGTCCTTGATTGATGTTGCTAGTCGATGGTGTAATAGTTGAAGTACTATCATTACAAGTGATTTCTCTCTTTACTTCTATCAATTTAATAAACAACATTGTTGAACGCAGTTACCTTTTAAGGTGCTTTCATTAGCAAACTCACTGAACGAAAGAAAGTCATATTTTTTCATGAAAGCAGCTCTCATTTTATTCCACCTTCTGTTATAAGTGGATTTATGACAGCCAAGGGAACGTGACAAGTTCACAGTGGCCCTACGTCTACGAACATTCTCACTGACTTCAACAGAACTCTTAGTATTGGCCTAACAATGTAATTAATTACAATGAACATAAAAATCTGAGAGCACGTCATTCACCTGCATCACGTAAGTTTTTTGTGATGGCTCCCAAGCATGTCGAAACACTTTAGCTAAACAACAAACGAAGTCAGTCTATATGCGTATGAACCGAATGCCTGGTTCCGTATTTTGTACCTTGTTTTTATGATAATAGTTTTGTTTTTTTATTAAACGATGCCTTAATTCGTCGAAGTTTATGAAAAATTAAGCTCCACAAGCGGTTCATTCAAATACTGTACGTTACATAGAATTGTCGACAAATTTCCCCCAAATACACGACGTAAAGGGGAAAAAGCGACATTTCACCTAAATAACCGACGTAAAAGCGAAAAAGCGACATTTCCCCTTTATTTCCCTTCTCGTCCGCTTTATTTCCCCTTTTTGTGTTGCTTGGGTATCACCTGACGTTATATTAAATAGATTCATATTGTAGTTAAAAGATACTAACGCGTACATTGAACTAGTATGTCTCAAAATTTACATCAAAACTTAATAAGAGAACCATTGAGAACAGACAGATATTTCATCCCACACTAGGACTAAAAAATCTAAAAATCTCTTCAAATCACCAACAGTGATAAATGTAAATTTATTGGAATTTTACAGCAAGTTTTAATTTAAGTTTTTTCATCAATAAGATATTCTGTCACCAACATGCGCTCGTCTTGTCGAATTAAAGGATACAGAGAACTCAGTTAAGTCGCTTAGCTAAGCTATTCAACTCGTAATCAGGTCACTTGTGTATCTTTAATAATTGTGCGCATAACGCGTACAAAGTAACAAGATTATGGGCAGTAATCATCCCAAATATGTAGTTCATAATTATTTTAAAGAGATGTGGAAAGCTTAAAACACAGTTGGATTTACCTATGACTTACAGTTTTCGAGTGCAGAAGAACACATATAATGATTGTCTGTTACAATCTGTGAAGTGTTTATGGTGTATTCGAATTGGGATTGCCAATTGTAGCGTGGCGTCGAGTTGAGATTAACTGTGAACACCGCTACCAAGAAACACGTGCCAATTAGATCAGAAGGCGTAAGAAGCTCGTTCCAAATGACTCCATAAAATCCCCGAGAAGCCGAATACCAGAAGGCAATTAATGGACCAAGTCGATGTTTATTTGCTGGCGATCTCGAGGCATCGAAAGGATACCGAGATCGTGCCAGGATACAAGCTTGGTTACAGAACGTAACCGAATTCGCGCGAAGTTACAATCAAAGTGTAAGTATAAGAATGGAAGCACAAAATAGCTGTCATTAGCACAGTCAAACTAAAGCACGTTAAAACAAACACTGGTACAGTTGGTCATAATAATAATTGTTTTTATTAAACCAGTCGTGTTCTCGTGATAAACGTGAGTCACTACAATGGTACCGTCTCAGTTGATCAATTCATTTGCTTTCTCGTAAAACAGTGTGGGAGTTCGAAGATCAAAACGCTGAAATCCGATTTAAATGTGGCATACTTCGATCCCCAAAAGTTTATTTTATCTCTCAAAAATAGGGTGACTTGTATATGAAATATGGTAAAACAAAGTTTAGTAGTTTCACCGGATAGGTTAGGACACCAAACTGTGTAGAAATATTTGCCATTTAAGGTGTTTAATTGGTGAATACTGGGTTTTGATGCTGTGTATTTTTATTAAGATGATTTCCTTCCTGTCCATTAATGGGCAATAAGAATTCTTATTGTAAAAATACACCATGAATTTGTGTATTCATAATCATTACTTTTGATTCACTTTCTTAAATGTCTCTTTAATCAATTTTAGAATTTGATTCATCCTTTTTAAATTAACTTGTAATAATCAGTCATATTTGTGATAATTGAGAGCTATTGGAAAAACGTTTATCAGCGTTTTACTTGATGATTCGTCTAAATATGTATGATCACTTTGTTATCAGTCAGGAGATTATGATATGTGAGCTCTTTAAAGCCATAAAGTGTAGTAGAATAGAATTGAATTTGTTGGATGATGCACTGGTAAGTAAATTATTCATGTATGTCAAACTATTCGTTCAAATATTGATGAATATTCGTATAAATTATTTTTAGTTGATTTAAATCATTCATGTATTTACAATCTCCTTTTTTTCGATTAGGAAGTAAGGCTGTATGGCTAAATATTACAAAGTTATAACTAGATTTATTTTTTACTGTTGTAAGTTTTTATTACCGTTGCATCATAACAGCACTAACCCTAACAAACTCCAACCACCATTACAACAACCCTCTTCTTCCCTAGCTCCAAATACTCAAAAAGATAACATCGGTTATAGAATATGTTAAGAGAGACCAGAGAAGATTTATCTTTCTATAATCTATTATATTTCGGAACTTAGCATTCCCAACACTAGTACGAACGTTTACTTTACTCAGATTGATTTCTGATGAGTACACATCGACTAATGTTTTGTGACTTCGAGGAATGAATCTAATGTACAGTGTCTGTTCAGTTGGTGTCTGAACTCCCATTGTCCCCAAATGAAAGTTAATGACTCATTCAAACACAAAATATTTAGCATGCTATGATAAATTATAGTAGCCTTGAGTTGTCAGAACTCATGATCATTTTTTTGCTTCTTGTTTTTGTGAACATCGATTCCATGAGCTGAATACGTTTTCATTCACTATCTCACCTAGTTTATCTAACACAGTCTTGGTTCATTTATCTCAGCACTATGTACACAATATAGAACTCCTTTTATATCGAATGAAGTGACAGGTCTTATTTTAAAACACTGTGTATTGCTAAGTTAGCAATTTCATTCATTGATCCAATTCTGAAAGAGTGTATCTGTTAAAATGATTGGATGTCCTGTTTACTATACGGTTAACCAGAGAACAATGTACTCATTTGTATTCAACAGTTTTATTGTTTGACTATGTTGCCGTGAAAAAAACCTGAATCAGATTTCCAGGCGAAACATTGGATTTATTTCAAATTAATTTGATGAGATTTCACAAACACATTCTTTCTCTTTAACGTTTCACATCGACTCGGCGCCAAATACTGTGAAACTATTCGATGAAATTTAGACAAAAGCTCTTATATAAAAATCCAACTGTTTATTCATATCATACCAGTGATTGGTTGAATGCAATGAACGTTGCCTGGGAAAATGGTGGGTTGTTTGGATCATAGTGTGAATTATTATTTATTTATTTTCATGCTTAACCTCATGTTAAAATTCTTTTTAAAGTAAAACCTTGCCTTAAAAAATCTATTTTCAGTTGCTTCTTGATGATCTCAAAGGAGCATCTCGCAATGAAATAGATCATTTATGCGAATTGCTGTTAGAAGGTGATAGCTTCCAAGCTCTTAAAAATTGGGCGTTTACACACAAGCCTACCATCTTGTTGCAGTTAAAACAAAACATTGCAAATGAACATTATTTAAACAACTCATGCTGCTGTAGTTATTTGAAAAAAGCCCAGGTGTGTCATTTTCACCGATTCGAGAGTGATTTTACTGACTTTATTTCAGGTTAGTTGGGAGCGCAAAATGTTACGAAGTCTAAATTCAATGTGTCAAGAGCTTGGAATACCTCTAGGAAGAAAAGTTAGTAGAATAGCGACATGGTTTTTACGGTTTTATCTCCTTTTAAAAGAGATCGAAAGGTCATAAAGAAGCTGTTCTGCAAAACTGGACAGAGTTATCAGTATTTTTTAACAGTAAAGTCATGCTATTTTTCCTAACTAATAATTCCGTATTCCATATTAACGTGTCAAGAACAATCAGTTATTAAGCCAGTATTTGGTCCAAAAGATCTTTTAGATGTTCTTACAAGTATTAAACATCCACAAGTGAGATCCACATTTAAACAGTAAGCCTTTTGTATATCATACTGGAACGATCATTTTCCTTTTTCAATAGTTATAATTCATCTATGACTGCAACTTGGGGTCTAATAAATTTGCCTATAAATGTTAAAAATTTGTCCGATCTGGTATGTTCACGATTCACAATATTGTTTACAGTAACTAGAGAAGGTTTTATGAACCGTTACATATCAAAAATCCTCAAATTGGTGTTGACAACTCATTGGCGTCTACTTTTGAATTAGTACATGAACAGGAAGCTAAAGAAGGTACACTTTATTTATCTTGTTGAATCTAATTCCTACTTTTTTTCTTCAAAATATCAGTCATAAGTCTTGACTCTTCTGAACGGGCACAACAGTTTTTGCGTCGTGGCTGCCCACTGGGTTATCGCGCACGATTGTGGGCCTTGTGTTTAAATGCAAAAGTGACGGAACACGTAAGTGCTGATTCATGATCGCAAAATATTATTATCGAACCACGGCAAATTTATTATTTATCCTCCTTCCTTGAAAATCATTTTCAGATTGGATTTATTTTCGAGACACCAGTTGATCTTATTTATCTCTATTTTTGTATGTAGTTAGTTCAACATATTGCTGACTATTCGTCGATGAATGTTTCACGAAATTTCACCCAAAACAAAGCTCACCAAATAAGTAGTTTAATAGCTTGCGTAATTCAAGCTACGATTAAAATAAAAGCATTTCAAGATCTAAACTAACCCATTCAAAGTTATGCATATTACCTGACGTTATATTAAATAGATCCATATTGTAGTTAAAAGATACTAACGCGTACATTGAAATAGTATGTTTCAAAATTTACATCAAAACTTAATAAGAGAACCATTGAGAACAGACAGATATTTCATCCCACACTAGGACTAAAAAATCTAAAAATCTCTTCAAATCACCAACAGTGATAAATGTAAATTTATTGGAATTTTACAGCAAGTTTTAATTTAAGTTTTTTCATCAATAAGATATTCTGTCACCAACATGCGCTCGTCTTGTCGAATTAAAGGATACAGAGAACTCAGTTAAGTCGCTTAGCTAAGCTATTCAACTCGTAATCAGGTCACTTGTGTATCTTTAATAATTGTGCGCATAACGCGTACAAAGTAACAAGATTATGGGCAGTAATCATCCCAAATATGTAGTTCATAATTATTTTAAAGAGATGTGGAAAGCTTAAAACACAGTTGGATTTACCTATGACTTACAGTTTTCGAGTGCAGAAGAACACATATAATGATTGTCTGTTACAATCTGTGAAGTGTTTATGGTACCGTCTCAGTTGATCAATTCATTTGCTTTCTCGTAAAACAGTGTGGGAGTTCGAAGATCAAAACGCTGAAATCCGATTTAAATGTGGCATACTTCGATCCCCAAAAGTTTATTTTATCTCTCAAAAATAGGGTGACTTGTATATGAAATATGGTAAAACAAAGTTTAGTAGTTTCACCGGATAGGTTAGGACACCAAACTGTGTAGAAATATTTGCCATTTAAGGTGTTTAATTGGTGAATACTGGGTTTTGACATTGGTCTTTTATCAAGTTGATGATGCAGACTAATGCTTTAGTGATGTCAATGAATAATGAACAATATATCCCTGTGCTTTATTGCTCAGTAATAGAATAGCTCAAAGTTTGGTTCTATATGGTATCGAGAATATGAAATTCTTAACTAGACTACAACAATCGTGTATAGTTTCCCATTGTAGTGAATAACTAAGTCAGTTAACTACTCCCAAAAGTCGGATTTTCACTGGTCTTTGCAAAATATAAACAAAATCCGTAAATCTACTGACCTTGCAATTTAAAGCTCTTCACACCAATTGTTGCCATTCTATTCAACTTAAGTTCAAGAAAAGTTGAAATTATCCCCTAAGATTCTCCAGCTAATTCCATTTTTAATAGTAATTAAAACATTAACTACATGAACGATCGTGAACACCTGATAGTCCAAGTATTATAATCCACTATTTCAACCAATGAATATTATTGTTATTATATTATAATTATTTATCACAGGTTTATTTTCATTTATAGGATCGTCTTTATTATGAGCAATTGAAATCGTTTGTTGCAGAAAATGAATATATGACAGATCAATTAATTTGTAAGGTACAGCTGAATTACGGATTTTTCATTTGTTTAACAAACAACATATTCATATCTTTAGGAAGTACAACTTACTGCCTCCAATCATGACATGCACTTTGTGTTTTGTGACTATACATATCAGGTAAATAAATGGTTATAAAAATTTGTCGAATATAATTTTCTTTCATCCTAAACATTTTACACTAAATGAACTGTTCTTCACTCTAAGCTGTTCAATCACTAACTTGACATTAAACGTCACTCGATAACGCCCCGACGGTGTATTAATAAGAAGGCGAATACGAAGTGTTGATTACGGTTATTATGGGACCACACACAGATATCCAAATTACAGGTACGTTAAGCAAGCATTAAAGAGTAGTACGGAAAAGCTAGCAGGCAAGTGAGCGAGCGAGTCAGCAAATACGAGTACGAGTAAGCAAGTGCAATGAACATGAATAATATATATATTCTGATGGGAGATTTCAATGCCAACGTTGGAACGGACAACACTGGATATGAAGACATCATGGGACGACACGGACTGGGAGAAAGAACGAAAATGGTGAGAGATTTGCAAACCTATGTGCCTTCAATAAACTGGTCATAGGCGGCACCATATTCCCATATAAACGCATACACAAAACCACATGGACTTCACCGGATCACACTACGCAGAACCAAATCGACCATATTTGCATCAACAAAAAGTAAAGGAGGACGATGGAGAAAATAAAAACCAAGAGAGGAGCTGATATAGCATCAGATCATCACTTGCTGGTCGCCAAGATGAAATTGAAACTCAAGAAGCACTGGACAATGCGGCGGACAATACCACAAAAGTTCAATACGGCATTTCTTCAGGGTACTAACAAACTCAACAAATTCAAGATAGCCATCAGCAATAAGTTCCAGGCCTTTCATGATCTACTCAATGGAGAAGGAACTACTGTGGAGAGCAACTGGAAGGGGATCAAAGAGGCAATCACTTCAACATGTCATGAGGTCCTAGGTCACAAGAAGCACCATCACAAAGAATGGATCACTGTTGATACACTGGGTAAGATTCAAGAAAGGAGGAACAAGAAGGCAGCAATCAATACCAGCCGAACAAGAGCAGAAAAAGCCAAGGCACAAGATGAATACACAGAAGTAAACAAACAAATGAATAGGAGCATCAGAACCGACAAACGTAAATATGTGGAAGATTTAGCATAGACGACGGAAAAGGCTGCAAGAGAAGGAAACATGAGACAATTGTATGACACGACAAAGAAACTCTCTGGAAATCGCCGCAAACCGGAGCGACCAGTGAAAAGCAAGGAAGGCGAGGTAATCACCAACATTGAAGAACAACGAAACAGGTGGGTAGAACACTTCAAAGAACTCTTGAATCGACCAGCCTCACTGAACCCACCCAACATCGAAGCAGCACACACGGACCTCCCAATCAATGTTGGCCCACCAACAATTGAAGAAATCAGCATGGACATCAGACAAATCAGGAGTGGCAAAGCAGCAGGACCGGACAACATCCCAGCAGAGGCACTAAAAGCAAACGTAGCGGCAACTGCAAGGATACTCCACATTCTCTTCAATAAGATTTGGGATGAGGAACAAGTACCAACAGACTGGAAAGAAGGACTTCTGATCAAAATACCGAAGAAAGGCGATCTCAGCAAGTGTGATAACTACAGGGGCATCACTCTTCTCTCAATACCGGGAAAAGTCTTCAACAAGGTATTGGTAAACAGGATGAAGGACTGCGTAGACGCCCAACTTCGTGACCAACAGGCAGGATTCCGTAAGGATAGATCGTGTACAGACCAAATCGCAACTCTACGGATCATTGTGGAACAATCAATTGAATGGAATTCATCACTCTACATCAACTTCATTGACTACGAAAAGGCATTTGATAGCGTGGAGAGAACAACACTTTGGAAACATCTACGGCGTGCCTCAGAAGATAGTCACTATCATACAGAATTCCTATGATGGATTACACTGTAAAATCGTGCACGGAGGACAGTTGACAAAGTCGTTCGAAGTGAAGACCAGTGTTAGGCAAGGTTGCCTACTCTCACCCTTTCTCTTTCTCCTGGTGGTCGACTGGATCATGAAGACGTCAACGTCTGAAGGGAAGCGCGGGATACAATGGAAATCTAAGATGCAGTTGGATGATCTAGACTTCGCAGACGATCTGGCCCTTCTATCCCAAACGCAACAACAGATGCAGGAGAAGACAAACAGTGTGGCAGCAGCCTCAGCAGCAATAGGTCTCAATATACACAAAGGGAAAAGCAGGATTCTCCGATACAACACAGAATGCACCAATCCAATCACAATTGACGGAGATTTGGAAGATGTAAAAACCTTTACGTATTTGGGCAGCATCATTGATGAACAGGGTGGATCTGATGCAGATGTGAAGGCACGGATCGGCAAAGCAAGAGCAGCATATTTACAACTGAGGAACATCTGGAACTCAAAGCAACTGTCAACCAACACCAAGGTCAGGATTTTCAATACAAATGTCAAGACAGTTCTACTGTATGGGGCGGAAACCTGGAGAACTACGAAAGCCATCATCCAGAAGATACAGGTGTTTATTAACAGCTGTCTACGCAAAATACTTCAGATCCGTTGGCCGGACACTATTAGCAACAACGTACTGTGGGAGAGAAAAAACCAGATCCCAGTGGAGGAAGAAATCAGGAAGTGGATAGGACACATATTGAGGAAAACACCCAACTGCGTCACAAGACAAGCCCTCACATGGAATCCTGAAGGTCAAAGGAAAAGAGGAAGACCAAAGAACACATCACGCCGGGAAATGGAGATAGACATGAGAAAAATGAACAAGAATTGGATGGAACTAGAAAAGAAGGCCCAGGACAGAGTGGGTTGGAGAATGCTGGTCGGTGGCCCATGAACCACTGGGAGTAACAGGCGTAAGTAAGTAATATATATATATAGTGAAATGAATGAATGATCGAATCAATATTAAGCAACTAATAGTAAGGCTAGCAGAGCGGAGATATGCGTAGGTAGTAAGCAATGCTCAAGCATACATATGCATACAAGTGTAGCAATAATTAAGGTCCAGTGATGTAGATAAGCTGTTATTGTACGGATGACTCTGTCCGTTAAATAAGTAAACAAAAAGGGCTTAACCGAATTAAATGTGAACAAACTCAATTTCACGCTAGCTGCTATATGTGCATTACTTTGAATGGGTTAGTTTAGATCTGGAAATGCCTTCGAATGTGAGCAAACTCAATTTAACGTGGGTTACTACACATCACTTAAAAACGATGCTTTTCAAGAATAGGTTAATCCCAACACTTCATCTACTAACATGAAATTAAGCATTTCAATAAGTTGATTAATTTAATTATCTTCAAAGCTCCGTTCATCCATGAACTGATGACATCCTATTATAGATAAACAGCAACAGTTTCCTCCCAGTCTCCTCCTAACACGTAAAATCAACACATCGTGTACATTATTTATTTATTTATTTGAACACATAATTATCGTTACAAGAATGCACCAAATATATATGCGCCACACAAAACAATGAGAATTCGAAGAGAAAAAAAGGTAAGGAGTGTGAAAAAAAAGAGAACAATAACGAAGAGTTTGGTGTAAAGTAGTGTAGTAATAATAATAGTAATAATGAGGGGACGGAAAGGTACAATCAGAAGAAATCTTTCAGTTAAGGGAGACACAACCACTTTTTATGAAGAAAGTAAAAGAAGGTTACAGCAGGATCGCCACTGGCTTCTATTCTGAGCCATATCTGATAACGTCTCTAGCCACTGTGTCGCGCCATCTCTCGGACCCCAAACAGGGAGTCGTGAAGGACCAACACAAGCTAGTCCTTTGCAGCTTTCCTTCATGCCATTACTCACACTCCCACCAGCACTTATACAGCTACCCAGGTACGTGAACTTATCTACTACTTCTATTTGCTCACCATCCAGGGTGAGTACAGGATTAGAATTCTGCCAGTCTTGTAGAAGTACTTTGCACTTCGAAGGTGCAAAGCTCATACCGTACCTACGGACACTGATTTCCAACTGATTAAGTGCAGATTGCATGTCTTGGGCATTATCGCACAGTAAGACAATATCATCTGCATACTCAAGATCGAGAATTCTTTCTCCAGGCAACAGATCTACACCCCCATTACTTACACTCATCAGAGCTGCTTCCAGAATGTCATCGATGGCAAAGTTGAAGAGGAATGGTAAGATTGGGCAACCCTGCCTAACCCCACTGCTCGAATGGAACAATGGAGAGAGGTGGTTGTATGCCCTCACTCTGCCTGAGGTGTTTGTATATAGGGCTTTTAGGATGTTAATAAGCTTCTCAGGCACACCCTTCTTCAATAGACAATCCCACAGAACAGTCCTGTCCAACAAATCGAAGGCAGCCCTGATGTCAAGGAACACTACGATTGTTGGCCTTTGATAAGTATGACGGTGTTCTAACATTTGGCGGAGGGTGAAGATATGATCAATACATCCTCGACCAGAACGAAACCCAGCCTGCTCCTCGCGAGTCAATCTTTCTCGGGTTTTAAACAACCTACGAAGTATGACGGAAGCCAATAGCTTGGAGGCAATCGGAAGTAGACTTATCCCACGATAGTTGTTACAGAGACGACGTGAACCCTTTTTAAAGATAGGGACAACTATCAACTCATTCCATAACGTTGGTACACTCTCTAGTTCCCAAATCTTTGTAAACAACGTCGTCAGTTCCTTAGTCAGAAAGTCACCACCATCTTTAAAAAGAGCCGGAGGTAAGTCATCTGGGCCAGGTGATTTGTAGCGCTTGAAGAGTTGGAGTTCCTTGCGGACTTCCGCCTCATTTGGTGGATCAGTCGCCACCGGCCATGGAGGACAGGACAGTCTGACCGATGTTGCCGGAGCAGCAGGCCAGTTGAACTGCCCTTCGAAAAATTCTGCCCATCGTCCAAGACGTCGATGGATGTAAGTGATTGGCATCCCGTCACCCTCGTAGATTGTTTCGCTCACACCAGACTTCTTGTTGCCAGTGGCTTGGATGAGTTGGAAGAGCTTCCGGTAATTACCAGATGCAGCTGCTGCTTCCAACTCATTAGCACGCTCCGACCGCCAGGCTTCTCGG